CATGTTATGGTCAACCAATAATTTTTCATTTCTTGTTTCCCCCCCTATTTCTCACCCTCTGCCACTTCCTACCCGCCTAGCCCCCTCCACACACACACACACACACACACACACACACACACACACGCTGTCTCTGGTATCTGTGTGCTGAATATTTTATCCCTTGTCTTTGGCATGTCCTTCTTATCCTTTGGATCCCATTTCAGGTGGAATTTTACCTCCTTAAGGAGACTTTCCTATGCTCACCCTAAGCTAAGTGAGTGTTTCTCCATCCCTTACAGTTATTCCCCATTTCTATAAGCTGTTCATTGTCTACATGATCTTACCACAATCTGTAATTATATACTGCTTGATTCATTCATTCACTCAACATAAGCCATTAAGCCCCTACTATGCTCCAGGTACTGTTCTAGGAAATGAATATGCAGCAACGACCAAAACAGATGAGATCCCTCCTCTTATGGAGTGCACATTCTAGGAAGAGGAGACTAGCATTAAACAAATACGTGAGTGTGGTAGCTACGGGATAAATACTGATTGCTGAAAATTAAGATAATGAGACAAAGAGGGACTTCACTATACAATCAGGGAGGGCCTCTCAAAAAGATGGCATTGGGACCAGCAGTTAGCGTAATGGCTATGTCACTGGACTCCCACATAGGTGACTGTGGTTCGAGTCCCGGACCCAGTGGCTTAAACTCACACCAGGCGCGTGTGCGTGCATGCCCAAGATCCCGAGAGGAGAATAGAGGAGAAGGGACTGTGGCATGGCCATCCCCCTGGGGGGGTGATTTCTCGCTTTTTGTCTCTCTATCTCTCTCTGTCTGTCTGGCGAGCACACGCACCCTATAGCAAAAGCCTCTCCAAAAAAAAAGATGACATTCAAATTGGGATTTGAATGATAAGAATACTGCTAAGCAAACAGAAGAAAGGGCAGCCCAGACAGAGGACAGCTAATACAAAGACTAGAATAAAATCAGCTTGGAATGGTAGAGTCTTAAAGGAACAATGATGATGATGACAACAACACAAAAAGAAAGGACCATCGTACTCCTGCAGTATTCAGGTGAGAGTCAATGATGGTTTGGACCAGTTGAGATAGTAATAGGGAGAAACTAAGTGCCTTTTGTGTATTAGAAGTGAAGTTGACAGATCTCACTTCTGGAGGAAGAGCAGAAAGTAAGGATGGCGTCTGAGTTTTGGGCTGCTTATTTAGCTTCTTCCAGTAGTTCATAAGCTTTGCAAAAACAGGAGTCGTATTGATTAGTACACCTGACACATGATACAAATTCACTGAACATGAATGAATGTATGAACAAACTAAACTATGGGAAAAGGGATGATCACAGAAGTGGAAATGCCCACACAAGGTTCAGAAGAGTGAGTTGCACTTTGTCAGGCTGCAAGGCAGTGAGCATTGAGGGATAAGAAAATGGTATGTGCAAAACAGGTAGAAAATATGCAACATAAGTAAAGGAGGGTCACTGAAGCACTTGATCTGCTCAAGGTAAGTTGGTAGTTTTGCAACTGGGCCAGATTCCAGAGAGGACAGAATGGAGAATACACTTCTTTTTTTCATACCTTGATACAAATACAAATAATGAGAGCTCCAAAGAAGGGAGGAAGAGGGGGAAAAATCTACACCAGATATTCAAGCCTAAATTCATACAGAATTTTGCAGAAGGTAGAAAGCTGTCAGTCACAGCACTTGAGGAAATTTTAACATGTCATTGAAGTCTAACATCACCTCTCGAACATCTAAGACTTCCCCTGATTTTTTGATAAATGATTTCATGCTGTCTTTGGGGGAGAAGCATTTGATCTAAAGGACATATTAGAAGAAAACAGCCTTGTGCATCCTCTGGGAGGAACCCAGAGAGGATCTGAGGCAAACCCAAGGACAAAAGATTCTCCCAAAGCAAGTCAGTCAATATGTTCACTTAAATCATTCCATACCAAGCTCAGCCCTTTGAGAGTATGAATGTACACCACACAGGATGTCTCTTAAAATCAAGCACTTAATACAATATAAATTAAAGTCAGAGAGATCAAAGAATCACAGAGGGAAAAAGATAGTGACAAAGAGCAAAAACAGAAAATGGGGAAGGGGAGATAGCTAGAAAGAAAGGAAATGAGAGAGAGGAAATAAGGAAGAGACAGAGAAAACTAGACAAATACCAAACATGGAGAAAGGGTGTGTGTGACTCTATGTACTTGTCAAAGAGAAAGAAGGTAGACATCTTTGTTCTTTGTAGGTTAATATGTAAATGACATTCTGATTTATTAGCCATCTCCAGCAGATGAGGTGATGATTAGCACATTTCCATATTTATAGAAAAGCAACACTAACTTTCTGGATTTATAGAAAATCAGCTCTTCACAAATAGCAAATTGTGCTATTATCGACATATGGTTTTCTATAAACAGAGCTGAGGTAATTATCCCTGGGACAATTTGTCGGTGGGCTCCTTTTGAATATTAACCACATTGAAAGCCCATTTCTGCCTCACAGATTATAAAAAGGAGGAGCCACCAGATACCCCAGGCAATTAATTGGTAATCCAACACCCGAGATGAGAATCCAAATGAAAGGCTATATCAGAACCACATAGTGGAGGACCATGGATCCCATGTTCTGACATCAGATTCCTGTAGACCTGGACAAATGAACCTCTCTGATGAGCTGCCACATCACTGATGAGGCTAAAACTAGGCAACACTAACCTCCAAAAGTTGTCAAGAAAATTAAATGAGAATATATGCAGCATCTGAAACCTAGTAGGAGCTCAACAAATGTCGACTATTTTTCTTCTCTTATATTATGAGTGGTTCTAAAAAAGATCCACTTAAAGTTTCTCAAACTTTTTTTTTTTACATTGACTCATAGTAAATTATTTGCTTTGTATTAAGCTATAGTACATACATACATGTCTTTAACTGGAAGCATTTCTTGGAGCAATAATTTAGCGTTAGTGCCTATAACCCACTATGATATTTTCTATTTTCAGTTATGGTAGCTCAAGTTTTGCTGTGATCCATACCTTTTATTTGTTTATTTATTTTGTAGATTTTTTTCTATAGGATACATGAACTCACTGGAGAGAAACAGAGTCAGAGAGAAAGGGAAAGTGAGAAGTCACCCTCTGGGATAATGGCCGTACTGCAATCCCTTCTCCTCCATTCCCCTCTTGGGATTTTTGGGAACACATGCATACGTGCACAGTGTGTTTCTCAAGCCACCAGGTTCAGCACCCCATCTTCATAGTCAGCTATGTCGAATTCAGCACCTTAACTACCACACCACCTGTTGCCTCCCCTACATACATTGATTTTGAGAACTACTATTGCGTTGCAACCTGCAGTTTGAAAAATATTGTACTATAAGAGGGTAGGAACTATATTTGGATTTACTCACCATTGTATCCCTTGCACACACATATGGATGCTCAGTAGAGCATGTTGACTTATATATATAAGAAGAATAGATACATACTTTAGAAAAAATGAATAGATAGATATAGATATATGGATTAATTAATTAATTACCCTATCCAGGAAATTGAATTAATGTATCCTATCAAGCTCTTTGTCTTGTTTTGCATACTCACTATGTATTAAGGCCTGTGTGAAGCACTAAACATACAAAAAAATGCTGTATATGACACTTGCTTTCAAAGATCTTGCTATCTAGATGAGAAGAAAAGTATTAACATTTGAAAATTATTTTTTAAAAGACTAAACAGTGTGGAATGTATACTCATCTGTCCAAAACAGGTGTGGTCAGTCTGGGCTGGTGTGATCAGGAATTTTAACTTGGATTTGTAATTTATATAGATCTCTCACCCTTCCACTTCTCATTGACTAGGTCAATCAAATGGCTTTCAAACTACAGTGAGCATTAGAATCAACTGGAGGGCTTGTAAAAATACGGATTGCTGGACCCACTCCCAGAGTGTTTGATTTAGTGAGGTTTGGGAGAGGGCTTGAGAATTTCAATTTATAATAAGTTCTCCAGTGATGATGCTATGCTGTCAGTTGGGGTCCACACTTGGAGAACCACTGCTCTAGTAGATTACAGTGAAATCAAAGATTGTTGATGCTATGCTAAGAAATTTAGACTCTATTCTTATCCATTTAGAACATTAGATAAGGAAGTGATATCATAAGCTGTGAAGTAGAAAGAACTATCTAGTGGCAATTGCTGAGAATGGATTTGAAGGGCCATTCAGGAGCCCATGAAGTAATAAGTGAAAGATTAGAGACCTACCTAACACTATAGGAGCAGAGATAAAGAGGAAAAGGATGAAAGAGAACTGAAGGGTCTTAGAAATCTACAGGAGTAAAGGAGGGATCTGGGATTTCTCTAGGATGTTAGCTTCATTGACTGTTTCTGTGATAGTTCCATTAACCAAGAGTCTATGTATATAACAAGTCTTTTTATATAAATAACAAAATCCCCTCAAAATCATTTTTTTAGAGGTTTTTGCTATAGGGCGCGTGCACTTGCCAGACAGAGAGACAGAGAGACAGAAAGCAAGAAATCACCCCCCAGGGGGAATGGCCACACCACAATCCGTTCTCCTCCATTCTCCCCTCGGGATCTTAGGCACGCATGCACATGCGCCCGATGTGAGTTTTAAGCCACCGGGTCTGGGACATGAACCATGGTCGACTACATGGGAGTCCAGCAACACAGTCATTACACTACCTGCTGGTCTCAAATTCTTTCTTTTTAGAGGTAACTGTGATATAATAAGAAACATATAGTTTTTGGGGGACTAGACAAGTCTGGTATCAAATCCTCTTGATACTTATTAGCAAGTCATTTTACCCTTCTGGATCTCAATTTTCTAGAAATAGTAAGACTTATGCTACATTGCAGAGTTGTCGTGAAAACTAAAGATCTAAAAGAAATCAGCCATCATTCAGTTAGTGCTTAGAAAACCTTTTTCTGGCATAAGGGTTGACCACAGTGTGCATTAAACTTCTGCTGTACTTACCAATTGTTTCCATTTTCTCCTTGTTAAGCACCAGGATATATTCATAAGTGCCACCCATGGATCCAGATGTGATGTAGTGGGTGCCATAGTCATTGATGAACTTGGCATACATGCCGTAATTATACTGCTCTGGAAGCTCCATTAATGACAGCATCATTCCTTCATCAAGCATGATATTGTCCCTTCTCATCTTAAAATGAGCAGTCTGCACCTTTGTGAAAACTCTCATGAAGCTGTATTTCTGCCAAATGAGGCAAAAGAATAAAGAAAACATACATTTTCCACATGAGATCAGGCAAAATGTCAGTGTTTCATATCTGTGGGAAATACACACACACACATACACAAATAGGGGTCTTCAAAAGTTCATGGGAAATGCTTATTATTAAAAAGAACTATACATGGATTCAAATTTTTTGGATAAAAATAAACTCATACTTAATTCCAACTTTCCTCAAACTTTCTGAAGTCCCCCTATATTTGTGTTCACATCCAAACATTGAACACATGCACATATAGTGTAGTAGTATATTTTTCAAGCATGTATTAGACCTAGTGTGCCAGACTTCTCCCACACTTTCACCTCTGTTCCTACTGCTTTCCAAAGAGAGAGAGGAGAGAGAGAGAGAGAGAGAGAGAGAATCCTCCAATGGGGGATGGTGGTCATGCCACAAGCTCTTTTTCTCCATTTCTCCATCCTTTCAGGTTTTGTGCTTGCATGCATACATGCTCAGCATATTTTTCAAGCCATTGGGGATGAAATTTGAACTGCAGTCAACCATGTGGGTTCCAGCTTCCTATGGAAAGTACTTAACCACTGTGCTACAGGGCTGTCCCAAAGAAGCATTTCTTAACTCCTCAAGAGAATAGGCACTTTGTAGAGAATATTTGATGAATAAGTGAAAATTTTATTGAGCATGCTCTCTCCTCCCTATTTGGAAAAGTAAGGCTTGTTTTAAATTCTCCCAAATAAATTTAGAGGACCTGGCTGTTTCTCTTTAACACATTACCATTTTCTTCCCTGTGTGCACCAGGTAACCATGAAAAAAGGATGGAGCAGGTGAAGTGATAAGAGTTCTAGACTTATCATTCAGTTTTATTCCCTTTGTGATGATTCTGTGTGCAAAAGCTTAATAAGAAAAACAAACACGATTACCACTGATCAGACATTTCCAATTACACAAGCAAATTAAGGTTCAATTACTACTGTACTTTTTAATGCAATTAAGGTAATACGTGTTCAGTGTAGATTATGGAATACTGTGAGACACAGACATTATGTTTCAATACCTTCTCGTTATACTTGTTTAACTTATTCAAGAAGGAAGAGCCTTCTGACCCAGATAGACCCACATTCACTGTTACAGGGACTTTTGCTATGCCTATACCAACAGTCACTCCAGCCGACACGAACTTGTCATTTTTCACTGTAGAAAGAAGGTCATTTGTATTTTCATATAACTCTGAGGAGATTGCACTATCTGCCAGGGCCTGAAAAGGAACATACAGATGTTAACTTTGTGCACACAGAGCTATTTTCCAGTTCGTATTTAACATTTAAATCTTTGCTTTGTACAATATCTAAAGTCTCAGATTATTATAATAATTCTTATAAAAGGCTAACCAACCAGTTTAACACTCACTAAAATACAAAAAAATACAGCAGTGTCAGTTAAGGTTTAGCAGTACTGGTTAGACATTTATTTGCACACACGCACATACACACACAATTCTGATAAGATGCTGTATTGTTCTGAGCATGGATTTCTTTGTAGCTGGTGTATCCTTCCTGGAAAGAAGGCTGCTTGCCTATGCAGTAGTGAAATGTAGCAATCCATGTCTGGCTAAGGACCTAGGAGGAAAGAGGCAAATGAAACTACACAGATTATGATAGTCCTAGGCAGTGTACAGTTTAGAGTTGACCACAAATGGGTGGTTATTTCATTCCAGGCATGCAATAAATCTGCATTTCTCTACTAATTCGTGCTGAGATATGGTGCCTCACTTGTGCTTCAGTTAAGTCAATGAAGCAAGTATTAAGATCCTGTGAGTGGGCTAGCCATTGGTGTGATGGATAAGTCAACTGATCCTACATGGCTAACTCTACAACTTAAGTCCTCAAGTCAGTGGTTTGGAAGACACACCAGACCCGTATGCATGCCTGCCCAAAATCCTAAGAAGAGAATGGAGGAGGAGAAGGGATTTGGGCATAGCCATCCCTAGGCGAGGGAGTGACGGGGGAAAGAATATCTCACTTTTCTTTTCTCTCCCTCTGTCTCTCTTTGGTGAGTATGTGTGCTATAGTGCTTGTGCTTACTCACACACACACACACACACACATACGCCTATAAATAGTTTGCTCTGCCATCATGAAAGCATATCTTGAAATGGAGTGTTCACTAGTTTGAGTTTCTGAGTGTCTGCGATGATCAGATTCCTTTTCCCTTAGGATGGACAAGTAGAAGTAAGTAATGGATTGCTGCTTCCAGCAGCAGATTTGAGAATCCTTCATTCTCACAGCATAGCCTAGACTATCTCGTCTGACACAGAGGCTCTAGACCTTCCTAGAGATCATAAGAAGGGTACAGTCTATGTTTATCCAGCTTGGTTGACATAGGCCTGAAACAGGGTAAAGGTGGCCATGGGGTTGGGGGAGCAAAAACTTCTTAAAAACAGATATGTCTGGCATTATTCTATGTTAGAACTTTTTCCCTAAGAAAGCTGAGGGAGGAGAGAACATGATTAGATCATTGTTTAGAAACCTGGGATCCTACCATCTATTTCTGTAGCTATAAAGTGCGTAATCTACTAAATGATGTATAGCCTGGCCGTAGTTCAGATAGCTTTGTGTTTGAATCTTGTCTGACACCTACTACAGTACAACTTTGGACCTGACCCCTTATCTCTGTAAGTCTCTCTTCTCTATTTTTTTTTTATTTAAAATGGGCCAATGATAATAGCTCCCCCATTAAGTTGTGAGAATTGATTGGGAGAATTTGTATGGGAGTAGATGACCTGACATTTGGTAAGCATCCACTGATAATTGCTACATGGACATCTCTCTCAAAGGATGAGGGATAAAGAAATGAAGGACCACGTACAGGATCTGGAACTGACTGTGAATTTTATAGTACTCTGAGTAACCAGAAGACTGCAGAATTTTAGAAATAGGGATAGAAAGAAATCTTTCTTTAAATAAAATCATACAGAAAGTTCATGGAAATGTATATTATGCAAAAATCATGCATGGATTTCAATTGGGGGGCATCAAAATAAATTTGTACTTTAATTCCATTTTTCTATGAACATTTTGGAGTCCCCTCATGTACAAAAGAACTAAGACATACAATGATCAATATACTACACTTGGTTAAGCAGGAGCATAGGTCTCAGAACCCACTCATCCATGCTCTGTCCCATCCTCCAGATTTTGTATAAGGAAACTGGGCCCAGTAAGGAGCAGTGAGTTAGATGCTCAAGGAATCTTGCAGATATAGTCTAGCAAAGCCACAGCTTGGTTCCCTGACTAGTAGTCCAGAGGACAGGTTCCAAATCTATCTTAATGATTTGGGGATGGCACCAATATTTAACAGGTGAGTGGTCACGTTTACATCATGCCTCTCACTATCCTTGCCTTTGCTTCTCAGTACACGTCAACACTGAGCAGGTATGGAGCAGATATAAAGGGGCCTCCAGCCACCAGCAAGCCTTACAGAAAATGAAAGCTTCCAGAACAAGGCATCTCCACCAACAGGCCTGCCACCCACCCTGCCACCCACCCTATAGTGGCCTGAGAGCATCCTTATTCAGACTTACTTCAAAGTGGTACTTCAGGAAGTTGTAGGGTTTCCGAAAGTATTTCTCGTCCTCTCCATAGTAGAGACGTTCACAGACGGGGTCGTATCGGAGCACCCTCCATTCCCCGTTGTATACCGTCTCACACTGGCCTCCATAATACTTGGCATCGTACACACTCTGAGATTCTTCCTGGGTCAGGATATTGAACCTAAATTGAAAAGTCAGCTTCTGGGAAAGAGCTTCAGAAAGGCAAAGATGGCATAAAATTCCATCTCCTGGAAGATGTTGCTGGGAGTTCAAGCAATGGTTTCTCAAACTGTTCTGTGGAGCCCTAGGGCTTCTCCAAGTAGCTTAAGGACCAACTAAGGTAATACTGGGAGACTTAAGCTGGGCCTGAACCCCCAGCTTCCCATTAACCAGAGCATCCAGCCAGTTCGATTCACCATCTAAAACCCACTCCCACCAAGGAGATGCTTCTAAATAATGTTGAATGAGGACTAAGCACAGTTAGAGTCCAAGTACTAGAGCCAGGAGATCTGAGCCTGTTTCCCAGCTCTGATGCTTCTAGCCATGTAACTTCAGGCCAATCATTTAACCTCTCTATTCCTCAGCTTAGTCATTTACAGAAAGCAATTAATAATACTGTCACCCTCACAGAGTTAAATATGAGTTAAAACATACAAATGAATCCTAAGTGTGTTTATTAAGTACTGAATAAATATGGCCGTTGTTATTGTTGGTATTTCAGAAAAAAAGGCTCTAATGCTGAAAAAATAAGTTTGAAATACTGTGTGGAACTCATCGTGTTAAGGTTGAGAACCTAATCCTCAGGAAGGCCATCATCTTTGAGGCAGCCAAGATGCCAGAAGGTGTGGGTTTAAAATCCGGGAAGCTCCTGTTTAGTCTCCAGCTCTGCCACTTACTAGCTATGTGACTCTGGACACATTCTGGGGGCTCTCTGAAGTCATTGTCCTTGTTTGAAGAATATAATATTGGGCCATTGGAAAAGTCATGATTTTTTTTTTCCTATGTAAAAATACGTCATGACTTTTCAGACGATTGGATACTACCTACATCTCATGGAATAATCTAAGTAAGAGTATTAAATTGAGTAAGGCAGAAGTAAATTCAATAGTATATATTAGGCACTTGGCAAAATGATAATTCCTCTCCCCAGACCCATCCTCTTCCAGAAATATCTTCCGTACTATATTCATTTTGAAGTTTTTAACAATCTATCTGACCAGGTTCCATGTTTTAGGACATACGTAATTTTATCATAGTTAGGTAAAATAATGAGAAGCCAGTGAAATACAGCTTTAATTTTCTAAAAAGGAAAAGTTAACCAAAACATAAAAGTTGGCTGAGAGTTCAAAGACCTGACCACACAAGGCTCATGTTATGGCTAATGAAATTATTGCTTGCCTCTGTCTTGCAAACTCCTTTGAGCCTTGAAGACCTAACTCAGACATGGCCTCCTCTTTATGACCTTCTTCGAATGCTCTGGACAGGCGTTCCCTCTGTTATGTCCCCATAGCATCCAGTGAGTATCTCTGTATAGCATGTATTATGATTGTTTATTCCCTCCATTAAAAGGCACAAAGGCAGAAAAGGAACGGGGATAAATTGTGACTAAAACCTACCTCAAAGGAATAGATGGATAGTTATAGGACACCTGGCGTATAGTAGAAATTCAATATATATTAACTTTCTGATTCTCTTCCTTTTTGCTATCAGTGAAAGTGATATAATAATTGTTATACATTGAATACACATTTTACTAAAAAGTCAGCATACATTAGCTTTCCACCTTCTGACAGTTTTACAAATGCTGAAATTAAAGCTCAGAAAAATTACGGAGCTTGCCTATAGTCACAGATGGGTCTTTCCTAGATTCTTTTGACAGTAAAATCTACATTTTCTTCCTTCACCTGCAGTTTCTATCTTTCTATCCATTGAATTTTTTACCTTAGCTTATAAATATAGCTTCTCTAAATGACCAAGCAAAGTCATCAAGGGTCAATTGCCCTGAGATTGAACTATAAACTCTAAGCATAAGTAAAGTCTATATATATTTGGAAAATCTAGTTGCAAAATGCCCAGTGAAAATGAAAAAGGCATAGTCAGAGAAGTTCTACGTTTTTTGGAAACCTGCTCTATTAGAAGTATTCACCAATGTGTACAGCAATTATATGTCTAAGGATGTTCAACACAGCATTATTTATAGAGGAAAAAATGGGAAATAATCTGATTTTCTCTCAATAAGAAGTAGAAAGTTGTGCTCCAATAAAACTTTACTTATAATAAGAGTTGTCTAAATCTGGCTTTCATAATATAGTTTGCTGACCCCTGTTATAGAACACTATTTGATTTTATAAAAAGAAATAGAATATATGGGGGGAAATCTTCAAGATTTATTATTAAGAACAGCAGGTTATAACAAATGTGTAGAAAAATCATGTTTATGTAAAATATACCTGTGCCTATAATGCACAATACACATAGGTATATTTTTCATACAATGTATATATTCAAGGATTTTTTTACATAATCTGGAAATATTTATACCAAACTGTTACCTGGGGATGGCTCTAGGGAAGGAAGAGAGAGAGGGAAATTGGGTGGGGTGCAGGTGGGGGAGAGTGAAGGAAGATTCTCAATTTTTATCCCAAACATGTATTACTTCTTTAACAATAAATAAAAAATTAAAACCAGAAAATACTTAAATTAGAAAAAAAAAAAGATACGAAAAAAGTCTTCTAAGATCTTGAAAGGAATATAAAAGCCATCTAAATGTCATCTATTGGGAGTAGAGGTGGGGCTATTTTAGTATCCAGTGTGGGCAAAAACCACTATTTAGGAACTGTGTTTGAAATGCTCTTAGCTGAATCACGTTACAGCAGAGTCATGGCACCGTGGTATGTGATCTTTTGTCAATAATAAAGGGACTGTTTTTCATCTGAACACCTCAATATCTTATGCTTCTACTCTATTCATTCTGTAATAACTTAAAACCAACATAAATCCTCTTTGACTGGTACTCTAGACTGAATTATGTCTTCTCAACATTCATATGTCAAAGTCTTTCCTCCCCAAATCTCACAATATGGTTGTATTTGGAGACAGAGTTCCTAAAGAGGGAATAAAGTTGGAATGAGGTCATTATAGCAGATCCTTCTCCATGTGACTGCTGTCCTTGTAGGAAGAAGAAATTAGGACATTGACACACACAGAGGGAAAAACATGTGAAAACATGTGAAGACACAGGGAGGAGGTGGCCATTCACAAGCTGAGAAGAGAAGTCTCAGAAAAAAACAATCCATTGACACCAACACCTTGATCTCTGACTTTCAGCTTCCAGAATTGTGAGAACATTCATTTCTGTTGTTTAAGCCATCAAGTGTGTGGAACTTTGTTACAACAACCCTAGCAAGCTAATACTATTGGTCTAGAAGGAAATAATTCTCCTCGTCTTTCTTTACTTTCTTTTTGGTTTTGTCTTAGTTTTCTATAGGGCACATGTGCTTGCCAGAGAGAGAGACACACAGACAGAGGAAGTGAGAAATAACTCCCCAGGAGGAATGACCACTCTGCAAATCCCTTCTCCATTCTCCTCTCGAGATTTTGGGCATGCACACACATGCCCTGTGTGTTTTTCAAGCCAGTAAGCCTGGGCCTTGAACTGTACAGTCAACTATGTAGGATCCAGCAACCCTAACTTCTATGCTACCTGCTGGCCCAATTTCCCACACATGTGCGTGTCCACATGCACTTGTGAGTGGGCTGTGATTGCAGAGCAATTAAACCATAATGAACGAGAGCTTTATGTTGTAGAGCCCACAGCAGTTCCTGAGTGGACTGCAACATGGCTAGTCACTACATCTACCCATTTCCTTCTCTGAAAAGATCCAGTCAGTCACATTGATTTATTTCAATTCAACCAATAAACACTCACTGAAAAGTTATAGAATAAGCTCTGACCAGAGGCTGATGAAGTTAAAAAAAAAAAATAAAAAAATAGAGAGTCAGAAGCACCTTCTGTCTTCAAAGAGTTTCTATTCAAATTCTAGGGGAGAAGACCCAAAGCAAAGATAAAGTCAGGAAACTACTAATATCAGTATGTCACACTACGAGCTAGGACTGTGCTGAGTATTGGAGAGACAGAGATGACCCAGAGCTCCTGGTCAAGCAGATGGTCACCCTAAGAGATGCCCCCAGCCCTGTGGGATACTAGCTGGGGCAGCTCTGGGAGCAATGGGATAGGGCTAGACCAGCCTAGCCAGGACCAGGAGTAGGGGAGGTGGCTGTCAAGAGAACTATCTGGAGGGGATGATATGAAGGTAGACTAGTCTGCTCAGTCACAAAAAAAACACCACAGACCAGTGGATTAAATGACCTGGAGGTCACAGGTGGAAGATTAAGCTGCCGTCAGCTGGTTTCTTCTGAGGGCTCAGTTCCTGGTTTGGAGACAGCCACCTTCTCACTGTGCCTCATGTGGATTCTTCTTTATGGAGAGAGCGCGCTGGTGTTTCCTCTTCTGGTAAGGACACCTATCCTATTGGACTATGGCTCTTTATGTGCTCTTGTTGAACCTTAATTACCTCCCTAAAGTCTCTGTCTAGAAAACAATCACATAGAAAGTTGGGATTTCAATGTATGAATTGTGTGTGTGTGTGTGTGTGTGTGAGAGAGAGAGAGAGACAGAGAGACAGAGACAGACAGACAGACAGACAGACAGAGAGAGGAGGGCTGCACAATTCAGTCCATGATACTAGGTAAGGAGTTAGCCAGGTTAGGAATATGGGGAAGACATTCTAGAAAGAAGGAATTGGATTTATGAAGGAAAAAGTGTGATGCATTCAAGGAACTGAACCCAAGCAATGGGTTCATAATGAACAGAAGTTAGATTCAAGGCTGGCTTAAAATATCAACAAATAAAAATAAAGCAACCGGGCCGGGTGATGGTGCCGTGGGAAAGGTCCTGAGTTTGCAACCTGTGACCTCCTGAGCAGAGGGCACACGTGTGCCTGTACACAAGTGTGACTGCAGTGTGAAGACCCTGTAGAGGGTCTTTCTCTCTCTCTCTCTCTCTCTCTCTCTCTCTCTGCATGAACTAAATAAACTTTAAAAAAAAAAGAAATTGTGACATGGGAGATTTAAGTAAGCCATGGCAAAGTGCATGTGCAAGCCCCTCTTTACCTCACCCTAAAGCCCATTTTCTTCACATGGTGTCTCACTGTTAGCCTTGGTCATAGGAGCAACTGCACTGCAAAGCAGACTGTGCAGACTGTGAACAGGGTTTTGAAATAAAACTCAGGTCAGAGAAGAGGTATGTTTTTAGGACATCAGGGAAGGTTCCTGAGAAGATGGAGATTCTCAAATGAGCTTTGTAAATGGAATGGGAACGAGAGGAAAAGAGGACCATCAGGCAGAGACCCTGAGGGGAAGCACAGGCAGGACTGGGCAAGCCACCTTGGTATGCAGTGACACTGTATCCAATGGGGATGCACAGAGGAATACTCCAGTAAGTTCTCCTTCTGACCCAAAACAAATAGTTATGAGTGAAGAGAAGTCATTCCTCACACCTGAGCAGCCCGCAGGCAGGGACTCACCCCAAGGCTGCCCTTTCTGATCCTGGAATCGGTTCATACTGGTTGCAGTCATCCTCAGGCACCCTGACATCTTCACAGTCATCCTCATCAGAGCCATCAAGACAGTCCCTGTCTCCATTACACACGAGGTGGCGTTTCAGGCAGCGACCTGTGAGAGGAGAGACTGTGGATGCCTTCTGAATTCTACTCCCTTCTGACCCACTGTGGTCACCAGGCCTGCTCCACCTCTGAGACAGCCCACCTATCTGTGCCATCCTCTCTTCCTCATTGCCTCTGCCCTTTTTCCAGCCTCATCAACTCCCTCCCAGAGCCTGCCCCCTAGTCCTTGCACCAATTTCTCCCTGTCTGATCCAGCTTCCATACTGCAACCCCCAGTAATCTTTCTACAGTGTGTCCATGCCACCTCCTGTTCTGCATCCTCTTCTGCCTCCCCATTCCTCCTCTCCCAAATGCCATAGTCTGGACCCTAGTTTCTTCAATAGCCTATTGCCTGCCTCTCTTCTCAAGGTCCTCATCCTGCAAATATTCTGGGCTGATTCTAGTCCCTAGATCCTCATTTTTTTCTTTCTTTTTTTTCTTTCTCTTTCTTCTTTCTCTCTTTCTTTTTCTTTTCTTTTTTTCTTTTTTCTTTGTTTTTTTTACATTCTTCCTCCTGGTAACCTCTATTTTATTTTCTAAGTCTCAGCTCAAGTACTATTTTGAATCCTCCCTAACTCCCCAAAGCACACCTGAGGCCTGCTGCCAGAGAGTCCCCAGGCACCATGGAAATATACCCATTCCAGGGGCCACCACACTCTATCATCATTGATTCCCTCCTAGGTCTCTCTCTCTCAAATAAACCAGCAGCATCTCAAGGTTAGAGACACCATTTTTAAAAATTTCTATATTAATAGCAGGTAGCAAATTGGCACATAATATGTCCCCAATTAGTATTTTTCAATGAGTGAACGAATGAAAGGATTGTATCTTTTCTAAATGAATCAACAGATGTTCCTACAAACTCAAATAAAAATTACAGGCTGCTGGCTGGGCTTAAAATACAGATTCCTAGACCCATCACAAAGCCCCACATTGGCAGAGTACAAGGCAGGACTCAGGAGTCTGCATTTTAACATGCTCCCCTAGAGAAGGGTTTCATAAGTTATATTTGACAGGCACAGCTGCCGTCCTGTTGGAAAGCTACTCACCTGTCTCCTTGCACTGGAAATCCTGTCCACACTGTGCTTGCTTTAGACAGGCTGTGGGACTGGAACAGCTGACTTCATCCCAGACATCACCACCGCAGATGTTTCCCCCAAATTTGTTTGGCTGCAAGAGGCTCCGGTATCGGTACTAAATCAGATTTTGAACCAGACACATTCTTGTCAATCAATCAATCAAGATTTGCACAGACAGGTTTCAAGCTCAACATAAGGAATAACCATCTGATGACTGAATACTGCCTACACCGCTGTCTTTTGAGAAGATGAATGTGCATACACAGCGGTGTTCAACCAGAGGTGACACAGTCACCAGATGGAATATTGACTAAGGGTTTCATGATCAAATGTACGGTTGGGACAAGATATTCTAAGGTCTTCCTACTTGCTGGGAAGGACCTTTGCTCCCCCTTCTTTAACCAGTTGCTACCTATTCATCTTTCAAGATTCATAGTTTACTTCCTCTGGAAAGCTTCTCTCACATATCCTGGAGATTCATGGGCTTCCTGTCTCCTAGCACTTGACATACAGGTTTGTGTTTGTACATCTGCTTGTTTGTCTCTCTCTCCCACCAGTCCAAGAACAGTCTGCATATGGGAGTGGAGGGAAGAGGAAGGGCCGTGTATGATTTAGTTTCATATGTTTGGCAGAGTTGATGTGCTGTTAGATTCACAGGAGACACTTTCAGAAGATATGTGTTGCTTTTCTTTCACAGCAGTTCTTCTAGTTATAGCATCCCCTCTTTCCTTGGGATATGTGTTACATGATTCAAGTGGCAATGACCTCATGCCCTCAGGCACAGAAATGTGTTGGTATGAACCAGGCCGGGCCTGCTAAAGCACAACTTCTGCCTAGTTGCAGTGGTTGCTGCAGGGTTTAGCACATGACAACCGATACCAGTCAGAATCCTCTCCAAGAATTTCCTTTTTGGAAAAGACTTACCCACCCACCCCCAATTGTGGAACATCAAGTAGTTATCTTGACTATTATGTAGAAAGAGCCCATTGCAGAGGAAAAGAGACAAACAGAACTCTGAAGGTACCATCTGAGTCTCTGGATCCAATTTTCACTGCAGTTGAACGAATAGTTCGTATGGAAGGAAGGGGAGAATTAAAGTGCATATCAATCTTGGAGCCCCAAGGTTTCATGATAATGCTTTCTGTATAGTGTACCATGTCAGATGATGCCGTAGAAGGACAAAGACTAGGATGTTCAGAGAAATATGAGGTCCCATCACTGCCTTTATGAAGGTTAGAGTCTATCTTGTTGAGAAGATAAAATATATAATGATATAAAACTTGCTTTACTGAGAGCATCCATGCAAAGCATCTAGTAGGATAATGAACAGCCCTATATTTTCTGCTGCCTCTTACCTTGTTCAGGCCCTTCCTTTAGGAATGTTAGGATGTATGTAAGAAAGCAGCAATCTGAGCAGCAAGAGAAGTGAGGTTTTCTGTTTTCGTTTTTGTTTTTGTTTTTTGGAGAGGTTTTGGCTATAGGGTGCGTGTGCTCACTAGAAAGACAGAGAGAGACGACAGAGAGACAGAAAGCAAGAAATCACCCCCCGGGGGGAAGGGCACGCTGCAATTCCTTCTTCATTCTCCTTTTGGGATCTCGGGCATGCACACACATATGCCTGGTGTGAATTTAAGCCACCGGGTCCGGGGCTCAAACCACAGTCGACTACATGGGAATCCAGTGACATAGTCATTACTCCAGCTGCTGGTCCCAAGAAGTGAGTTTTGACCTGAATCAAATTTATTTGCTGTGTCTAGTATCAGTTCCTGGCACTGATACTTTGAGCCTCATTTTCCAAATGTGTAAAATAAGGTGGTTGCCCTGAATGACCTCATTAATTATAAATACTAATGATTTTTTCACTTGTGTCCTTCAGTTGAAAGAGCATAGGTATGAGAACAAGAGTGATTTGAGTTTAGATCCTAGATTCACTTGTTAAATGACCCTGAGCAAAGTCATTTACCTTTCCTGAGCTTCTGTTTTCTGGTATGTCAGATGGGTGCGCTGGCACCTCACCTTAAAGGGAGAAAGTATGAGGAAGCACTTGGCCCAGTGCCTCTATATCGTTGGTACCCAGTAAACAGTGTCAGTTTCTCCAGTGTTATCCTAATCCATGCAGTCTTTCTGGATGATTCCAATGAGTGAGTTGTGGGGAAGTGCAGCTTATTTCTCCTTCTGCCCATCTCTGTCCACTTAACTCTCGCTAGTAAAGAGTGGAAGTATCAAGGAGAGGTGAAGGTCCAACGTGTCCCTGTGCCATCCCTGCTTTTCAGTTAATAATGGCAGTAAGAGACTTGTATACTCCATGGAAAGAGATTATAATTCATGACAATTTGGAAGTCACAGGATATTTTCATTTCCAACCTAACTCTGACCCCTCACTGCAATAAATAAAGGAGTAACCGGTGTGAAAATATATAGTCAGTTCTCCTTCTCACTCATTAAAAAAGTTCAACTGATTTGTGGAGCAGGTGGCATGGTGGTTAAGGTGCCAGACTCCCATATGACCAACTATTGCTGGTTCGAGTTCTTGACTTGGTGACTTGGAAAATCACACTGGGTGCATGTGCATGCATGCCCAAAATTCCAGGAGAATGGAGGAGAAATGATTATGGCATGGCCATCTACCTGGTGGGGGAGGATTGTGATGGGGATTATTTTTTACTTTCCTTCTTTATTGTCTCTCTCTCTCTGGCAAGCACACACGTGCCCTATGACAAAAACCAGAAAGAAAGAAAGAAGAAAGAAAGAAAGAAGAAAGAAAGAAAGAAGAAAGAAAGAAAGAAGAAAGAAAGAAAGAAGAAAGAGTTCACCAGATTTTTTTAAAACAGCAGTTACCAACACAATGATTATAATGATGGAATGATGGTAGCTACCATTTATTAAGAGCTTATTATTGGTCAGATACCTTACATTACTTATCTCAATCTCCACAAATTTCTGAGGTTAAATACTATTACGAATCTCCCATGTTAAACTGGGTTAGTATTCTAGTTCTGCCATTTACAGTATATGCACCACTGGGTATATTACCTAACATCTCTGACCCTTAGTTTTCTCATCTGTAAAATAAGCTGTATTTGAGAGTGTTGGGAAGATTAGTGATAAAACATGCAAAAAATAAAAATAAAAAACAGCATTTTGCCTGGTTTCTGGTAGACACTTGATAATAATAGTGTCGACATCATGGTCATTCTTATAACCAGCTATTAGGCTACTCTAAAATGAATTGAATTAAATAACTGTTAATATCCCTTATTACTCTTTGGTATAATTCAGGGAAGGCAGTAGAATGGAAAAGCTTGCAACTCAGGCCTTTGAAAGTCAGACTGACCAACTTATAAATCTAAGCTCTGCCACTTTCTTCATAGGTATCCAAACAAGTGGATGATGACATCTATCATTTACAGTTGGCTGTGAATGCCAAATAAATACAATTTATTTAAAACATTAGCACAACACCTGGTACATAAAAATTACTTAATAAATGGCGACTATCAATGCCATTATCATCCTTGCTGTGGTTCCTATGTCTGGATTGACGGTGCAATCAGGAAAGCTCACTCCCATGGATTCCCTGTTTTCTAGGTTGCTATCAAATACATACAGTGTTTCAGCAAGGTTGATGCCTCTGCTCCCTTAGGGGACTCTCCGTGCTATTGCCTGTGCTTGGAATCATTAAGATGTAATTTCCTTTTCTATCTGATAGATGATGTTTCTTTCCAGAAATGCACATCTTTATTTGGGTGATTATGAGAGGAAGAAAAATGTTAATAAAAAGAAACTAGGCTGGTCTCTCACTTAAATAATGAACAGAATTTCATTATTTTATGAATTAAAGACCCACATGTCTTTTAAGTCACTAAGGAACTCATTTCATTCTGATTTAAACCATAAGTCACCTGCTTGTGCCATCAGATATATAAACTGAAATACCTGAGAAAAATTTAGTTTAGGATGGGGGCCATCCAGTGGAGTAGTAGTTAAGGCTGCTGGATCCCACATGGCTGACTGTGCAGTTGGCACCTTGGACCTGGTGGCTTGGAAAACATGCTGTGTGTGTGTGTGCATGTGTGACCAAAATCCCTAGAGGAGAATGGAAGAGAGAGAATTGTGGCATGACCATCCACCCTGGAGGGGAGTTTTCTCACTTTCTCTCTTTGTATTCCTCTCTCTGTCTCTCTCTAGTGAGTGCAGATAGAAGAAATAAGTTAGCTTAGGATGTATAATAAGTTGAATAATTTCACACAATGATATCAAAGGCCACACGAAGATATTGAGTCCTAAACCATGAAACTTGTAAATGTTATGTTATTTGGAGAAAGGGTCTTTGCAGATATTACTAAAGTGTTTCAGTTGAAGAGATTAGCCTGGATTATCTGGGTGGCTCTAAATGCTGCCAAAGGCCCTTACAAGAAGAAGGCAAAGGGAGATTATAGGCCAGCATGGCATAGCACACAGAGAAGACCCATAGGAGAGGGAGGAGGCCATGTGACCAGGGGAGCAGCCACTGATTAAAGGTTGTCAATAGCCACCAGAAACCAGAAGGGGCACCAAGAGAGAGAATTATGTATATATATATATATATATATATATATATATATACATACACAGAGACACATACACACACCCTATACAACACAATAGGTAAGGGATCTAAGCTGTGGAATTGAAGCTAAAGCACCTAAACTTGACAGTAAGAAGGCAGTAGTGTGCCCAATGATACATCCTACAGCAGACATACCCAATAAAGGCATGTGTTGTCTGAGAGAATTTAAAACAATAATAAAATATAACATTATTTATTATCACCATGAACCATTGATTCAGAATAAAGTCAGACTTTTAATTTTCTTTCCTACCAGGGTGGAGGGCTTCCAACATCCCCCTTCTCTCTGTGTGCCACTGGCATTAAGAACTGTTTTAGATCATTCAAAATCACTCAGATGAGCAAGAGAGACACACCTCTGTTCATTAGGTGTTGGCCTTTTCAGTTCATAAAAGTGGAATACTCAGGAACTCTCTCTCTCTCTCTCTCTCTCTCTCTCTCTCTATATATATATGTATATGTATGTATTCACTGATTTATTTATCCCCATAGGTAGCTATACATTTTGTTACTTGGCTTCCCTAGGCAGCTGGGCATTTTGTTACCAAGCCATTAGTCCCTCCTGATGACTCTCCTTAAAGGGCAGTAGATGGGCCAGGACCCAAGGGACCATCAGGGGAAAATGTGCCCATGTCCTCATGGCCATTTGTATACCATGAGTCATAACATTCATGTCCTTTGCATCCTCATTTGGTAAAGCCTTACAACGAAATCTGGAGAGGCAAAAATAAGCTTCACCAACCATGTACTCCAAGCTTCTGAGTACCTACTTCTAGACCCTATTTTCTCCCTAGACCCTTAGATTTATAGCCCCAAATACATATTTCCATTAGAATGCTAACGCACAAATCAAACATGAAATACCCAATACTGGTCATTAATGTCTTACCTTTTTGTCCTGGCATGGAAAGCAGCCTGTCCATTCTGACCAGCTGTTCAGCTGGCAGGTCACTGGTGTGGGAGTAGCAGCCCGCCTTACTCTCCTAAAGAGAGGAAAGACCCCTGCTTCAATTTTGAGATGCAAAGTTTAAACAAAGGAGAATGCCCTGCATGGTTTCCTTCCAAAAAACCATGGTTTGAGAGAAACGAAGAATGAACATTTATTGTGCATCTACTATACACAGATTTGGTGCTAGAAAGTTTATTTAAGTTTTCTTTTTATTATTATATCAACCCTAGATAGATCAAAGGACTATCATCTTAGATGAGCACTGAGGAGCACTAACATTTTTTTTACAATTGTTTACTAAACTTTAAAAATCATTATTATTTTTAAATTTGCTACAGGACACATTTACTCACTAGAGAGATATGAGAGACAACGCTAGAGAGAGAGGGAAAATGAGAGAGCAAATGCAGGTCTGGATCTTAAACTATGGTCAGCCATGTGGGAGTCCAGCACCTTAACCACCACGCTACCTACTGGCCCTGAGAGCTAACAATTTTTGAGTCAAAAGTAGCAGAAAGCTCAGTAGCTAAGAACACAGAGTCTGGGGTCAGAGAATTGAGTCAGAATCTTAATCACTTGCTAGCTTTGAGAACTCAAGCAAGTTACTCAATGTCTGAGCTACTGTTTTCCATCTGTAAACCTATGTTTAACATAACATTACCTGATAGGTTTATTGGAAGCATGTTAAAATGCTTATAAAGTACTTACTAAAGGTTGGCCTCTATTATTACATGCTGGGACATTGCATGGATTATCTTGTTTCATCTCTATAACAATCTAAGGGTGTAAATAATATTCTCCCTAATCTATGTATAAGAAAACTGAGATTCTAGAAGCTAAGGAACTTCCGAAGGAAAGCAGGTGACAGGCAAACTTTGACCTGGTTAGTTGATGGCAAAGCCCACTTCCTGCTTCTCATCCTGCTGTTTCCCCGTTTTACAAATCAGCCAACAGAAATGACAATGGGAATCGTGCCAAAGGCAGAAGGTAGGCACTGCTCTATCTCCAGGGTCATGGTCTTTCTTTTACCTCAGGCTAACCCCTTCCAGGTTAAACAGAAACCTTTAACCACCACCAAATTATTGAGCACCCCAAAGAATTTCAAATAGGCCAAATTTACTAATATCCATGTAATTCAAAATTAAAATGAACAGATTTTCAGAATATTTATTAATTTATTTATAATTACAATAACAAACCAATTATGTGTTGCCATAAATAACATAATTACATGTAAAAGTCTGTTTTCAAGAAAAATAATTAGTGAGAAGTTTTTTTCCGATATGGCTCATGCGCTCGCCAGGCAGAGGGAGACATAGAGACAGAAAGAGAGAAATCACACCCCAGGGGGGATGGCCACGCCGCAATCCCTTCTCCTCCATTCTCCTCTCGGGATCTTGGGCACACACGCACACGCGCCTGGCATGAGTTTTAAGCCACCAGGTCCGGGATGCGAACTGCAGTCGACTACATGGGAGTCCAGCGGCATAGCCATTACGCTAACTGCTGGTCCCGTTATATGCTGTTTTGAAGTCTATGAACAAGACCCAGCTTCATGCAGTTATGTAGTTGGAAAAGGGAGGAATGTTTTAATAGTCTTTTCAAACAACTGTAGATGTTCTCCTTTGATATTGTACCAAAACTTGACAAGTGGCCATTTCTTATATGTTAGGCAATGTAGAGTCTGAAAGCGTATCAATGTATTTTCTCATACTCTATTGCTTAATGTCCATGGACTCTTGAAGTAGACTCTGTGCTCATATGTAATTTTTATAACATCAGGTATTAGAAACTAATTGATTAAACTAAAAATAATGTCCCCTGAGTATTTATGTCTTCTAAATATTAACACATTTCACTATATTAAATATCAAATTAAACTGTTATTTTTACCAGTGATACCATCAAGTTTATGGTGACAGATATGTTTTCCAAAATTTAAATTTTCACATAGAAGTTTAAATTGTATCATTGGTAAGTGATATTGTCAAGTGCAAATGGTGTCCCAGAGGGAGAGAAGTAGTCTTATGGACTGAAGTGTCCTCCACAAAATTTTGAAACCTAATCTCCAGTATGATAGCATCTAGAGGCTAGGCTTTTAGAAGGTGATTAGGTCATGTGGGAGGATCCCTTATGAATGAGATTAGTGTCCTTAGTAAAGAAACCCCAGGACCAACCAGGTGGCATAGTGGTTAAGGAGGCTGGATCAAACATGGCCACTGTGCAGTTCAAGTCACAGACCTGAAAGCTTCAAGGACATGCTAGGGGTGTGTGTGTGTGTGTGTGTGTGTGTGTGTGCTCATGCACATGCGCATGTGGCCAAAATCCTGAGAGGAGAATGGAGGAAAGAGACTGTGACATGGTCATCTCCTCTGGGGGATCCTGGGATGTGCTTCTTCACTTTCTCTCTCTTTCTCTCCAGCAAGCACATGTGCTCTATGGCAAAAAGAAAAAGGAAGGAAGGAAGGAAGGAAGGAAGGAAGGAAGGAAGGAAGGAAGGAAGGAAGAAAGAGGGAGAGAAAGAGGGAGAGAGAGAGAGAGAGGAAGGAAGGAAAGAAGGAAGGAAGGAAGGAAGGAAGGAAGGAAGGAAGGAAGGAAGGAAGGAAATGGATCTTCAGAAAGCTCTTTCATCCCTTCCACCAAGTGAGAACACAGTGAGAAGATGGCTGTCTATGAACCAGGAAGCAGGCTCTCAGACACTGAGTCTGCTGGTATCTTGATCTCAAACATCCCAGCCTCCAAAATGGTGAGAAACAAATTTCTAATCCTTATAAGCTCCCCAGTTTGTGACAGTTTGTGACAGCAGCCCCAACTGACTAAGACAAGTGCTACTTTGACTTACAACTCAAACAATTGCTTTTCCTCAAAACGCCCCTCATACTTCAGTACATCAGGTGTTCTTTATGCATTCTTCCCTTTGGGCACATAGACCATTTCAATAACACCTATTCAAGGATTACGGTTTCATAAAATAAAATTAATTACTGCCTTTAGAAAGACTTTCTTAAGAAAACAATTCCCCTACCAGAAATTTGACTCTTGCCTTGATTTACACCAAAGCCACACCAGTTTTGCCCACTATTGCTGTTGTATCAGCGATGCAAGCATAAACCCAGTGAAAGGCGCCAATAATATTTTATTTATTGTGAACATTGTTTTGAACTCACAGATACCCTAAAAAGATCCTGGGAAATCCCAGGGTGCGTGATCACACCTGGAGAAACTCTGATCTACAAAATGATGTTAGTTTATTACAACATCACCTCCATCCCATTAGAAGAGTATTTCAGTGCCCAGGTCATAGTCTTCCCCTCTGCTTTGATTCCTGCCTTACACTGGGAGACTCATCATCCCTATATGTGAGCTATCCAACATTCCTCCCTCTCCATTGCTCCTTTTCCATATCTCTAAAACATTTTTCTTCGGTCTAGTATCTTCCATGCTCACATTCTGGACCATCTACTCTCTAAAACAGCTCTGCCTCCAAATCACTAATGTATGAATCACCTACAAATAGCTACTTTGGGGGTCCCCAGGCCCTTCTCCTTCCATCTTATGAGCCCAAGGATTTCCACTGCATTTTTTTCTAGGACCTCATTGGAACCTCCATTATCTTGACACCTAAGCTGTCTCCCTATCAATAAGACTCCCCTCCTATCTTTATTTCCTTTTAGAACCAGTTTTGATTCCAAGATCTATCATTTTTAATTCCTACTTACTTCTTATACTCCTGAACCCCACTGTTTCCTCACTCATGCCTGCCTATTAAACTCAGCCCTGAATGAATTCAACTGTCTACTCTACCCTGTTTAGTCCTAGATAGCTTTCAGTGTCATCATAACCATCAATTCTTTAATAAAACATATCCCATACTGGTTCGATACCTCTATTCATATGATTTGGTCACTATCTGCATATCTTCTCACCACTTAATTAGCACACTTGCAACATTTGTATAATTTCTCTCTTCTCCATATTTTAAGCTTCATAAGTGCAGGTATTTTCTATATTTGATACTGAACTCCAGCACTTATTATAGGTCATATCCATGGAAGGAGCTCAATAAATATTCATAAAAGAAAAAAATAAAAAGAGAGGAAGGGAAGAAGGGAGGGGAAAATGGAAACAATTTCCAGGAAATAGGCAATGACATTGTTGAGAGAAATCTCTCTTTTGAACCTGATTCCTAGTCTAAACAGTTATTCCTTTAAGGTTATTTCTTTCTTTCCTTGTAGGTGAGATAGACAGAGGCAAAGCAGAGAAACAGCACCCATCAGGGCCCTGATAGCACAATCCCCCTTCAGCTTCAGCCAACCCTGCACCATGGGCATGTGCATGCCCAGCGTACTCAGAGAGGTCTCCAGATACAAACCCAGGACCTTCCTGTGTGTATCAGCCTCACAGACTGTCACGTTTTACCACTGTGACACTGTCTGCTTTCTTCTTCCTAGTTAGAATCCAGTGAAATAATCCTGGTATCTAGAAATTCAAATGGCTCAAGATCTGGTTCACATGTCATTTTTTGTGATAGACTGTCCTAATAATAAAAGCTTGAAGTGCAGGAGCATAGAGAAAGAGAAAGGTTGTAATCATTAAAAGGTGGAAGAGAAGGTCCAGGGTGAAGGTTTGAAATGAGAAAAGGACTCCAGCCTTAATTCTGCATCTCACTATAGGATTGTCAAGTTAATGTCATTGTAAACCCACAGAGACTGCATTACGATGTCAGAATGAAAGGAAACAGTATTAATGGGTGGAAGAAAGAGCTTAGACAGAGCAGCACTATGTTGCTATAGTTTTAAAAGCTTTGTGACATGATGTCTAGACAGAAGCACACACATTAATGCTATCAGGGAGGCCAGGGTACAGAAGGTACACCAAGACCATTCATTAAGTCATTACAAGGCTCCAACCTTTCAGCCAATACCAATAGGACCGACATTTTCTCTTATCAGCCCAATGAATTTTTTAATGTAGTTCATTTTTTGATTATTATAAAAGCAATACATTCTCATTCAAGACAATGTAGGCAAGATT